TTCACCCCACTTTTTTTTTTTTTTGCAGTACGCGGGCCTCTCACCGCTGTGGCCTCTCCTGTTGCGGAGCACAGGCTCCGGACGCGCAGGCTCAGCGGCCACGGCTCACGGGCCCAGCCGCTCCGCGGCATGCGGGATCCTCCCGGACCGGGGCACGAACCCGCGTCCCCCGCATTGGCAGGCGGACTCTCAACCACTGCGCCATCAGGGAAGCCCCTATTTTCACCCCACTTTTCAGATGAGGAAACTAGAGGACAGAGGAATTATAAGACTTGCCTGAGGTCACAAAGAAGAACACAGACTCCAACCCAGCCATGTGGGGAAGATTGTACTTTTCTCCCTGGAGAGTTGCCTGGGAGAATTAAAATGCTAGAATACGCAACAGGGCTTGACATACAGGTGTGCTCAATGAAGAATGGCTATTATTGTCATTCAAAAAGATACCACCTATTTGAGAAACAGTTGACCCAGAACTGCACATGAAGCCTTTTGCTCACTCATTAAGAATGATCGCTCCAGGGACTCCAGTGCTCCCAGGTGCCCTATCACACCTTGTCTAAGGAGAGGAGATTTTGGATCTGAGCCTTAAGAATAAACAGCTCACTTAGCAGACGGGGCCAGTGGGAGGATGCACCAGGCAGAGCGAGCAACATTGGCAAAAGCCTACGAGGTGCAAAAGTGTGTGTGGTTGCAAGTAGAGCGGGGTGGGAGCTGCTGGGTGTTATTCAGATGCTTGTTGCCAGCGGACCTCCCCTGCCATCCTCCTTCAGCCTCTTCAAAAACCGGACCTCACGCGCCACCTGGTGGCAGCCTCTGATCCTAACAGGGCAGAAACTACCAACGGGAGTAAAAGCTGCCCACACCCCTGTCCCCTGTCCCTTCCTGTCCCTTTCCCCGGAAATGGACTTGCTATAAAAGTGACAGAACAACAATCAAGAAACATTTTTTATTTAAAAATTACATTTTTCCAGTTATTAAAACAATGCATGGTCATTGTAGAAAACTGGGAAAATACAGAAAAGTTTAAAGGAAAATAGTCTCCCTCAACTCCATCGCCCAGAGTAACCACTATTAATATACTGGCATATTTGAACCCAGAGATTTTCTCTGCATGTAATTTTCATGTAATCCACATATGCTGAGAATTAGTGTGTACACATATTTAGGTACAAATACATATCTATATCTATATCTATATATATATATATATATATATGGACTCAGTTATGTTTAAACATGCGTGGCTTATTTTTGTGAACAAAGGGCTTGGTGTGAGGGGTAGTGTGGGTGTTGGGAGCTGGGTGCTAGTGTGAGATCACCCTGAGTCTGAATCCTGTCTTTGCCTTTACGAACTGTGTGACTCCAGCAAGTGACTTCTCTTCTCTGAGTAGTGATTTCCTTCACCATCTGTAAAATGCGGCGAATAACGGGATTTATCCCAGGGCCGCTGAGAAGCTTAAATGACACAACGTATGCAAAATGCTTAGTACAGTGCCTGGGACAGAGAGGTTTCTGACTGATATTAGGTTACCACGGAAAGCTTAGTCTGCCTTTCTGATTTGTAGCAGAAACCTCTAGAAATGGGATGAATTTCTGGGTCCAAAGGTAGGAAGAACCTCCAGGTTGATACAGTTTGCCAAACCCAAGAGGGAAAATTTCAACCAAGGTGGCATGTCTCCAGCACCACAGCTGTTCTCATTTGTCTCTATCTTCTTCCAGGTCCTGTTTATGCAGAACAGTCTTTAAGCGTTGTGATTACGATGCTTGCGCCAGTTTGCTAACGTTACATCACCAGGATACTGTTTATCCTAAGCGGCTAAAGCTGTCATTGACATTTGCTATAATTTGCATATGTATTTTCTTATTATTGAATATCTGAGTTTAATTTTTCATTCATTCATTCATTCATTCGCTTGCTCATTTATTCATTAGTTTGTTCATTTATTCATTCATTAGCAAATTCATTCATTCAAGAAATGGTTATTGAATGCCCACTGTCTACCAGGCACTGACTGGGTGTTGGGATATGGTCAACTAGAACAGGACACTCCTTACTTTTGGCACTTGGACTCTGGTGAGACAGACCGTTATAAGTAAACAAACAAGTAAAACTCTGACTATAAGCTGTGGTGAGTGTGTGAAGGAAAAGGAGACCTACTTCTTTATACATTTGTGTATTTTGGGAGGTGGTCCTGGTCCCTGATTCTCACCTGCTCTTTGCTCCTCAACAGCCGTAACTGAAGCTCCCCTGTGAGGAGTCCCACGTGGGGTTGGATTTTCCACCAGCACATTTTAGAATTTCCTGAGAAGTCAGAGGTCAGCACAGCATTCAAAGACCTGACAGGGAGCTCCAATGGGCCTTGCCTCCTGTTCACCCTTCCTCTAAGGCTTGTGTTTCCACCAGTCTAGCCTGCTAGAAAAGCCTTATGATTATCCCCCCTTTTTTACAGAACTAATACATTTTATTTTTTTCTTCCAGTTTTACTGAGATATAATTTACATAAGCAGTGTATAAGTTTAAGGTGTGTACAACATAATGATCTGATTTACATACATCACAAAGTGTTGATCACAGTAAGTTTACTGAACATCCATCATCCTATATAGGTACAAAATTAAAGAAATAGAAAAAAATTTTTTTCTTGTGATGAGAACTCGGGATTTATCCTCTTAACAACTTTCATATATAACATACAGCGGTGTTAATTATACTTGTCACGTTGAACGTTACATCCGTAGTACTTATTTATCTTATAACTGGAAGTTTATTATCTTTTGACTGCCTTCATCCAATTTCCCCTTCACCAAACCCTTCACCTCTCCCCCCGTCCCACCTCTGGTAACCACAAATCTGTCCTCTTTTTCTATGAATTTGTTTGTTTGTTTTTGAAGTATAATTGAATTACAACACTGTTAGTTCCTGGTACACAACTTAGTGGTTTGATATTTCTATACATTTCAAGCTGATCACCATAATTTATCCCCTTCTTAAATTTACTTGTACTGTACCTTTTCCTCACCTCCCTCTCAGTACAGGGCTTCCATCAGCCCTGGGAGCCTTTGAACCAGTCAGCAAAGGTGCTCCTTTCTGGTGGACAAAGCCTCAATGGGTGAGGCTAGGCAGGCAGAGTACAAGTTGGATTTCAGCCCCTTTCAGGCCCCATGGGTCAACTGCATGACTGTACACGCTGCTGTGCCCACAGCCTCTGGAATGACCACCCCACCTACTTTCTTTCTTTTTTTTTTTCAAATAAATTTATTTATTTATTTTATTTTTGGCTGCGTCGGGTTTTTGTTGCTGCACGCAGGCTTTCTCTAGTTGTGGCGAGTGGGGGCTACTCTTCGTTGAGCTGCGAGGGCTTCTCATTGCGGTGGCTTCTCTTGTTGCGGAGCACTGGCTCTAGGCGCACAGGCTTCAGTAGCTGTGGAGCACAGGCTCTGCAGCTGTGGCTCGCAGGCTCTAAACAGCAGGCTCAGTAGCTGTGGCGCACGGGCTTAGTTGCTCCACGGCATGTGGGATCTTCCCGCACCAGGGCTCAAACCCGTGTCCCCTGCATTGGCAGGCGGATTCTTAAGCACTGCGCCATCATGGAAGTTCCCCCACCTACTTTCTATCTAGCTGATTCTTACTCCATCTTGAAGACTCAGTTTATATTCCATCTCTTATATGAAGTTTTATCTAGCTTTATAATTTACAGTAAACCCTCCATTCGTGGAACTCCTCATTTTCCTGTTTACTCTTTGCCTCATTTGACACTTAACTGCATACTGCCTTGTGATTCCTCTCGTTTTCCTCTCTTGTATTATTATTTCATCTGCAGAGTGTGGCAGAGTTCACCAGTGTGGGTTGTCACAGCTACTGTCCTCAGTGTGGGGTGCTGTTCTATCCTCCCAACCCCATTCCCTGAAAGAACAAATATGGTTCCCTAAGGTGAAAAGGGAAAGCCCTCTCCTTGGGTTGGCTTTAAAAATATATGGCAACCCAAAAGAATAGAGAGCAGAGACTCAAATAGGTATTTGTGTACTCATGTTCATAGCAGCATCATTCACAATAGCCAACAGGTGGAAACAACCCAAATGTCCATTGTCAGATGAACGGATAAATGCAATGTGGTCCATTCACACCATGGAACGCTATTCTGTCCTACAAAGGAATGAAATTCTGATAATGCTACAACATGGATGAACCATGAAGGCATTAGGCTGAGTGAATAAGCTAGACACAAAGGGACAAATATTGTATGATTCCACTTCTATGAGGTAATTAATCCAATTCATATAGACAGAAAGGAGAACGGGTAGTTCACGGGCTGGGGGAGGGCGGACGGGAGTTAAGAGTTTAATGGGTACATAGTTTCAGTTTGAGAAGATGAAAAAGTTCAGGAGATGAATGGTGGTGATGGTTGCACAACAATGCTAATGTATTAACGCCATTGAAGGCTATACCTAAAAATGGTTAAAATGATACATTTTATGTTATGTGTATCTTACCATAATTTTTTAAATGACAACATGAAAAGGGTTGTTTAATGTCCTCAACTCAACCGCGAATCTGCAGGCTTCTCCACGGCCTCCCAATGCCATTGGGAGCTCCCTGAGGAACAGGGAAACGTGTCTCCCCTCTCAGTCTGGGGCTCTCCCAGGACCAGAAAGGATTTCTTCAAACGGGGAGCTAATCCTTGAGAGCTTGGACTTGTCATGTCCATCATCAGACTGAGGTGCTTCCTGATGGTGGAGTGGCCTAGAACGGGTGAGGCTGTGCCTCCTCCATCAGACCGGGAGTTATCCCAGTGAGTGTGTACGGGGTGGGGGAAAGTGGGCTTCGTGTTTGAAATTGTTGTCTCTCCGGCCCAGCCCCTGGGCTCAGGAGCCCCGCAAGCGCCCAACGGCTTTCTGCCCTCAAGCTCACCTCCAGCCTCTCCCCTCCAAGTTCCGCGGGCTCAGAACGCCGGCGGGTTCTCCGGCTGGGCGGGCAGAGGCCGCTTCCGCCCTCTTCCAAGATGGCCGCCTCCTCTGCGCCAGGCACGGTCACGTGAGCACCCTCGCCTATGAGGTCGCCGGGGCTGGGTCGGCGATTGTCCCTTCCCGGGCCCCGTCCCGAGTCGGCGACTGCCCCTGTCAACAGGAGCCTAAGAAATCATGGCAACTGGCTCGGGCTGGGAGCGCGTGGCAGCTGCGGCAGCGGCGGCAGTTTGGTCGCGGGCCGGGGCGGCGGAGCGGCGGCGGCGGCGGCGGCGGCGGCGGCAGCACTGGCGCTGGCACCGGCCCTGAGCACCATGCTGCGGGGCAGACCTGAGAGGGAGCTGGCGGCCTGGTGGGAGGCGGAGGCCGTGGCCGCGGCCAAAGAGCATGCGGCGAAGGAGCAGGTCCGCGTGGACCCGGGCGCAGCCGGGGAGCCGGAACTCAAGGCGGGGGAGGAGCAGCCCAAGGAGCCGGCCCCGGCGCAGCCCCACGCGGCCGAGGAGGGCGACGCCCGCGTCCCACCGCGGCCGCCGCCCACGCTGCCCATGTACCAGGCGAAGCCGGTGTCGGCGCAGGGCCTCTACCCGCACGGGAAGTCCAGGAGCAAGAGCCGTAGCTGCAAGCGGAGCTCGGACCGGTCCGAGGAGTACTGCTCTCCGCGGCCTGTCACCGTGGACAGCTCCAAGGCCAGGACCTCCCAGGACGCCCTGAAGATCAGCATTCGCCAGCTCAAGTGGAAGGAGGTGAGGCCCGGCCCGGCCGCGTGGGCACAGGGGGGTGGACTGGACGACCTCAGAGGAGACGGACGGCCCAGGCCAGGTCTGAGGGCCGAGCTCCTGCTGTGCGCCACGCTTGTCAGCCGCAAACTGCACATCCTTCAAAGCCTAGCCCCCAAGTCACTTCCTCAAGACGGCTCTAGACCCCTCCAGGTCAAGTTAGCCACTCCCTCCGCTAGCTCCCTTGCAGCTCCGTTCCAGCTCCATGGTCTCCAGGCATCAGCGCTGGCCTTCCCACATGGTAGATATTTGTTTATATGCCTGCCCCCTCCACCAGTTTTTGAGTCCCCAGAGGCCTGGATCCTCTCTCTGTCTTTCACTTCTTCCTTAAGTTATATTTGTTTAGCATTTACTGGGTGACCCTTGGGGCGGTTGAACCGTTTGTACTTTGGAGGCAGGCAGACTAGGGTCTCAGCACCCTGCCCCTTAGCTCTGTGACCTTGAGCAAGTTGCTTCACCTCTTCAGCCTATTTCCTTCTCTGTAAAGTGGGGCTAATGAAACCTATCTCATAGTTTTCTTAGTATTAGAAGACCCGCCGCTTATTGTAGTATAGCCCAAGTGCGCAATAAATGGTAACTAACCTTACCACCTACTCCTCTCTGTCTTCCACCATCACTATCACCATCACATCACCATTAGCATCATTGTCATCAGTGTAGGCACTGTGTTTTATGTTTCAAGGCTTGGCTTATAGCAGGTGTCAGGAAGTGGTGGGTGAAAGGGTGAATGAAGGAATGGGTTATTTGTCCCTGAACTCATTTTAGACCCGGTGGGGGCTGGGACGAAGCACCAGTGACACCCAGAGATATCTGTTGCAGTTGGCGGAGTGGATAAAGCCGTTTGACTTTATTTGCAGCACCTAAGGTTATTTAATGTGCTTTTGGGAGTGTCAGGATTGTGGTTTGGGGTAGTCGAATCTGGAGGCTTGGACCCAGATGGTCTGCTGATGGTACAGGATCTGTAGCAGGCAACACGAGGACGCAGGTCCTAAGCCCTGGGTCTTAGCTATGGTAGAAGTTCAGGAGTGGTTTAATGAAGTTGGAACGTGCAGAGAGATGGTCACAGAAAGGACTGATGAGGTCAGAGAGTTGATATAGCAGCAGAAGGGGTCGTGTGGTTTGGAGGGCAGTCAAGAATCAGGCAGGGCAGACTTCCAAGTAGGGAGGTGTTAGCCATTGGGAAGTCTGATTCAGGGTTCAGGGGAGGACTTTGATGCCTATGAAACCTGGAGAAAGTGAGGGAGGCTCCCAGTACTAGGTGTCTGGGTTTCGGGACAGGGTCCCAGGTCCAGACCAGAGATATGTGGACCAGAACAAGATAAACCTGGAGAGTCTGTCAGTACTATAGTCCTAATGAAGGGAGGATCCAGGAACTGAGACCAGGCCACAGAATTAAAGAAGCCTGATTGGCCCAAGCCTGTGCTTAGCTTAGCCCTGGGGAGGAGAGAGACGCAAAACTGGCCAGATCTCAAGTGATGGAGCCACATGGACTCAGAAATCAGCAATCACACATGCTGGGCCAACTTCCTTCACTCATTCCGTAAGTGTCCATAGTGTCCACTATGGATGCTGGGCCCTGCAAATCAAAGGTGCTCAAGATGTAACCCTTGCCTTCAAGGACCTCCAAGTTCAGTGGGAGGTAAGACACAAGTAAAGAAATCATTGCAGTAGTCACAGGGCCTTTGCTACTGCTTCTGGAAGTGCTCTTTTCCCAGCTATTGGCATGGCGTACTCTGTTACTTCAGATCTCTGATCAAATGCCACTTCCTTGGAGAGGCCTTCCCCCAAGATCCCTCCACTCATCTTTTTTTTTTTTTTTTTTTTTTTTTCATAGCACTGAACTCTAGTGACGTTATATTTTGTATTGTTTATTGTCTGTTTCCCTCAGTAGAACGTAAGCTCCACGAGGGCAGGGGCTTTTATTTTATTTACTGCCGTATCCTCAGGTGCTTGGCACATAGAGGTGCTGAATAAATATTTGTTGACTGGATGAACACCTTATGTGATGAGCGTTTCTCTCTCTGTGTAAAGGCATACATGCTGTAGGAGATAGAGGGGGGCCATGTCAGGGCCAGGTACTGGAGGAGAGAGCCCTGAGCTGAGTTCTGAGTGCTGAGAATGAGTTGGCATTATTTAGGGGTTGTCGACTTTGGCTCCCTGGCCGAGGGAGTGGGATGGACCAAGCAGAGGTGCATTTGGGGCTTCGCAGGTAGTTCAATAGGGCTGAGTCATAGAGTGGGGGGCAGAATGGTGAGAGAGGGGGCAGGAGGGGTGAGCAGGAGTCAGATCATGTGCTACACTGTGGAATGTGGATTTTTTTGGAAGCCTACATGAGCCACTACAGAATTTTAAGCATCTTCTGTTTATCTGCTGTGCTACTTTGGCAAGTGAGTTAAATTCTTTAGGCCTCAGTTTGCCTGTCTGTCAAATGGGATTGGGTCAGTGGTTCCCAGTCTCCTTACTGCTGTAGCCACATAATGGTAATGTGAGTCTATGTGTGGCCCTTGCACAGGTGAACCCGGTGGGGTGAGCAGTTTACAGGGCGCTACCTGTAACTGCCTCCTCCAGCCCCAATCCTGCCTGCTCTGTTCAGAAAGCATGTTGGCATGTAAGTGGAGATGCTCATTCTAGTATATTTTAAAACATAATTCACTCACAACAAGACTTTACTATTAGACATGTGATTATTTACATAGTCACGCTTCCCTATTCGTCTGTGAGGTCCCGAGGACAGGAGTGGTGTCTGACTTGTGTCCCTGATGCCCAGCAGATGGCGGATGATCCATAAATGAATGAATGAATGACTTGCAACAGAGCTCACATCTCGTCTTGACACCATAGAATGTGGAGTTTGAAAAGTGCCCGACTGGGTAAACTTTGAAGTTCCTTCCAGTTTTAAACAATGGTCATGGTATTCTTAGTACCTACCACAAAATTGGCTGCGTGACAAATAACATATATGTGAACTGGGTACTAACAAAATGTAAGCACAGCCTCCCTAGGCCTCAGTTTCCCCATCTGTTACAGGGGTGCTGTTGGAAAAGGTCACCTCTAACGCTCAGCACTGATATTCTAGGAGCAGGAAGTCTGCTGGGGGCTGGGTTGCAAGGAACTGAGCTGCAGTGTCCCTTGTATGTCATGCTGTGCTGTCACTGCAGGATTTGGGAGTCCCTAGCTGGCTGGCTTTGGCAGGGGTTGGGCAGTAGCCCGGGCAAGAAATAAGGTTATGAGCACCAACCAGTGTGAAAGCTCTGTGTCTCCTTTTGCGAGTGAGTGGTGAGGGGCTCCACCGTCGGGCTATTCAGCAGGGCAGCGCTGAGCCAGCATGGGAGTTCAGACGTTTGCTCAGCTACAGGGCACAATCTCCCTTCTTTCTCCACTTTTCTCTTTCTGCACACACTTAATGACAATAACAATAACAGTGATAATGAACAGCAGCTATGATGAAGCCTTCCACAGCTCTTCCCCCGTGCCAGGCACTCTTCTAAGTGCTTTACATATAGCTAAGTAGTTGATTCTCCCAACAACCAATAAAGTAAATGCCCTTTTGTCTCCATTTTACGCAGGAGGAAATCGAAGTACACAGAAGTTAACGTATTCAAGGTCCCACAGCTGGTAAGGGGCAGAGCTAGCATTTGAAACAGGTTTCCACTTGAAACCAGCCTCCCATTCTGTGCCCTTCCCACTGCTCCCTGCTGGCTGATACTGGCGGACCCTGGGTCAGGGGTGGCATAGACATGACAAGTCCCTCCTTGCCCTCCAGGGATAGACATGCATACAGACAATTGCAGTCCAGCCTGGGATTTGAGTGGGTAAATGGCATTCCATACAGAATAGGAGCAAAGGCAGGGAGATCCGGTTTTGTATGCAGGGTGGGGTGATGGTGGCTTAGAGAGCGTGTGGAGAGCAGAGAGAGATGAAGAAGGAGCCAGGTTGGAGGACGTCGAAGGCCGTGCTGAGAGGCTTGCACTTCTGGCTGAATATAATCTCAGATTCTTGCCATATATAGACCGAGCTTCCCTTGCCCACTCTGTCAGTCTCAAGGGGCCCACGCCAACTCTCTGAAATGATTCAGTTGTCAGTTGTAACTCCAGTCAGGTCTAATGCAATGGTGCCCACCATGCTAAATTTGTTTCTCAAAGGACAGTTCACAAATGTTAGCTCTGTAAACTTGTAGGTAAGACGAAAATTTATTCTAGAAGAGCAAAATCATGTTTATAGAGTCACCGTGAAGTTTCAACGTGAGAGGGATGGTTCCTGGCTCATAGTAGATGTTCAATAAATATTTACGGAATTGTATGGTCCTCTTCCAATCGTGTGAGCCTCTCTCCCCCTCTCCTTTATATTCTTTTTGCAGTTCTGACACCCTCATTAGAGAAAACCTTAGGGAAAAGACACCACGGAGGATAGATGCCACTGTTGTTGTGAGCTGCCCTCCTTGGAGATGTCGGTTGTGTATTTGTGCGCAGTGGTGCCATGGACACCAGCTAACGTGAACGAGGGCACTGAGAGATTTGATAGAGGGACCTTTGTTGATAATAGTTGGCATAAGCCCCATCCCAAGATCTATTACAGTGTGACCTCTTTGTTTGAGAGTGTCCAAATCAAGTGCTGTTTTCTGAAATGTATCCAGCCTTTCTTTAGAACATATATATATACTTATGCTATCATCCTATTTATAACTTGTACTATGTTAGTTACTGTTTATGAAATATCGTATTATGTGCTAGGCATCGTTCTAAGTGCTTTATACTCATTAAAGCTTGGGTAAAATGTTTATTATGGATTATTTTATTTAATCCTCACAGCAACCCTCTGAAGTGGATCCCCTTATCATTTCCAATTTACAGATGAGGAAACTGAGTTTTGAGAGGAGGTTAGTTCAGGGGTGAGCCCAAGTTCACACAGGTAACAAGTGGCCGAGCCATCCAGGGCCTGTGCTTGTAGCCAGTATGCAATTCTGTACT